GATGTAAAATTTTAATATATACCCAATATTTAGAAAAAAGTGAAACTAAAATTCTAGACCAGATTGTGATGTTTGAAGGCAGTATACAAAGTATACAAAGTACATTGTTCAGTTAAAAGGCACAGGGAACATGAGGATTTGTCAGCACAGTTTAGAAGTAACAGGTAATGCTTTATGAATCTATTGAATTCTTAATTAACTTGCATCTTGAAAAAACATTTGAGAAAGTTCTATATGTGAGGCTTTTGGAGATGGTTAAAGCTCCTGAAAGAAAATTAGAGATATAATAGGACATATAACAAAGGCATAGAAGATGAATTTTCATGTAGATATATCTATGATATAGTATACTAGAACAAGAACCTCATTCACACGATGATCACGTGTCTATTAGGAAGAATGGAGAATGAAACAAAATATAGGTTTGGTAACTAATCATTCACATGATGAGAAACAAAAGTGTAAAAACTTATACTGTACTGATAGATGCTAAAAACAACAATGTATTTAAATAAAACAGAAACTTCTTGATAACATCTGTGCAAAGATATCGCTTGTTTTGCTGCAGAGGTCAATTTCAGGAATGCACGGTTTGTGCAATTGTGCTGTTAACCTTTGCTCTTTACCGCTAAGCAAAAGTCATTAGCAATAGTAGATAAACTGATTGTTGTTGAAATTGAGCTGTGATGTGAAGACTTTGATGTTTTCGTAACTGATAATACTCTTTTNAAAAAAAGTTAGCGACTAATTTGACCTTGTTGACTTTAATCTTCATGCCAAATTAGTTTGGCATTACTGGACACTGCAGCTTAAATTACATTGGTGATGTGATGTGTAAGTATTTCAACAGTCAAAAGTTAATAAATTGTGATCATTTCCAAAATCAACTTAAATGCCATGACTTGGCAACCCAATTTACAAGAAAATAAAGTTGAACCACAATGTAAATTCTGTTGTTTTGGGGTCAGTGAGTGTTCAATTGCTCCAGGTATTTACTATTTCTACTGCTGGAAATAAATCAATCAACTTGAATCATTATATTTAATGCAATTCTGCGCCAGCGTAGCCAATTTATTTTAAAATGTAAATGAGGAAAAACTCGAAAGTATGTCCCCCAAAGGTATTTTAGGCTAAGTTGAATAAAGAGTATGGAAATCCCTACTACTGAAAAATGAAATATTCATGGAAATTCTGTTAATTGGAAGAGGGTAATGTAGTAATGGTTTGCTTTCATAATATCTGGAAGAATTTGTGTGGAAACTGAAGTTGTGTGGCAACTCTGTTCCTGCTATAAGAATCATGCAGGTTTGATTAATCAAATCAAGTGTTTAATTTAAAAGCTTCATGTTAAATAAATTGTCAGGGTTAGGTGATGAAAATGTCAACACTAATGTTGACTGATGTGTTGAATTGAATTTGGATGCTTTTTAGTGTTTTGTGGAGTTATAGTGCCATCTGCTGCCAAGGATCACAGCTGCTATTCTCCATCTGATCAGATGTCCAGGAGTTCATTTTGAAGCAAATGTCCATTGAAACCTAAAGCTGGCTTTTACTAAAGATCGCATGGCATAGAAAATTATTCGGAAGAAAATTTTTTTTATTGCCCGATTTACATTAAACAGCAGGGTGAAACCTTGGGCAAGTTTTCTTACTCCACACGCCTGATAATAATCCCTCAAAAAAAAGTAGTCATTTCAATCGACGACTGTTTGTGGGACACTGCTGTGCGCAATTGGCTGCCACATTTCTCCCACAAATATTTGATGATTTAATAATTCCAAAACCTATGTGAATTGGTTTTTGAAACCATTTTAGAAATCCTAGGAGTACGTGACAAAATGGAACACATATTCTCCTATGTTTACAGTGCTGTCTTTCTCAAAGTGGAATCCTGTAGCTTAGTGGTTAGGGCACTCGCCTCGCAAATGAGAGGACTTGAGTTTGATTCCCGGCAGGGCAAAACGTTGGACAAGTTTCATTACTCCACACGCCTCTGTTTACCTAGCAGTAAGTAGGTACCCGGTTGTCAGTCGAATGGGTGGGCGGATCACTTTTCCGGCGATAATAATCCCCTCAAAATAAATAAATAAATAATAATAATAATTTGGTCATTCAATCCAGCACTGTTTGAGGGACACTGCTTTGCGCAATTGGTTGCTGTGTTTCGCCACAAAAATACAGTCAATTCACTTTACAGTCTATTCTGTGAAGCACGTTGAGATGTCTGGAAGACGTGAAAAGCGCTATATCAAATGCAAGGATTATTTTTATTTATTGATCCAATCTGTGATGTTTCACTGAAGAAATTTGTGCTGGAACCAGTTTGTCAAAACAACTTTGAGAAATAAATATTTTTTCAAATGGATTTGGCTTCCATCACAGTCTGCCTCTTCAAACCTATGAACTTTTAAGAGATCCTTCTTAATAATGCTATTCCTGGTCACACTCCCAGGTCTTCAACAGCATTAAAATTGACCATTGTTTGGTGCTGGTTCATGGAGCTCTGCCTGTGCCCTGAATTGCAAGTCCCTAACAGAAGCCATTGGGATCAAGCAATATAAATTGAAATTCTTCCTGCTTTACTGATGAAACTAATATTCCATTAAGTTAAAGTTTACTACAACAACAGCTTGCATTTTTATAGCACCCTTCACACGAGTACCATTTGATTTTTCAATGAAGATGTTTCACCTTTGCAGGCATCGTCTAAAAAAACAAAATGTCTTCTTCAGACAGTTTCTTTAGCACAGTGTATTCTGGCTGAATATTATTAAAAATTATTGAAAACCTTATGCATCTCTTGGAAAGCAGAGTTTTTAAAAACGTTTCCAAATTAGTTTTCTCCTAAACTGTTCCTTGGACTTTTTTAAATTTTTTAAATAAACTCTCTTGTGTTAAAGATAGGAGCTAGTTAGTGGGATAGGAGCACAACAATCAGATGTAGCATAAAACTAAAATTGGAAAGAGATTTGCAGATAGGAAGGATAAACATAATTATGCTGCTTGTAAGTTGTTATTCAGTTATCTTAAACCAGTAAGTGCTTTGGTCCTGGCTGTACACCGATGGAATTTTCAAAGATTTCAACACAACCTGTTGTGCTTGGAAGTGCTCAGCTAGGTTGATCCCTCAGGATTCTCTCATGCTGTTCTTCACCTCAACTTTTGTACACAGTAAAAGAGAAGGTAGGCAAACCAGCCTCTTCCTCTCATGTAAACGCTTTAAAATTGCTGATGATAGAGCAGGATTGGCACAGTTTTAGAGACAAGTTATTTGTCTGCATTCAGGATTAATAAATAAAATGTGTGAGGAACTAAGAGAGGAGGGAAAGGGAAGGAAATCTGTGTTTTAATTAATAATGTATTGCCCTTTGTAATGTACTTTCTAACCAAATATAGATTGCCCAATTTGCCATCAACAAATTCAGAATTGGGTTATAGTGTAGGTCCTTTGTCTGTCAGAGCAATTCACAAAATCAAAAGGGTTCTGCTTTCAGAATGTGTTACAAAGTTAGTTTTTACATCGTAATTTAAATACTTGAATCATTTAAATTGTGTGTTTTGTTCACAATGATGAATTTTAAAGAGCTTTCAGTTATCTACCTCTCCTAAAACCTTTTTAAAACTCCGGAACAAAAAAAGTGACTGCTCAATGTATGTACACTGTGAAAGGAGCTAGTTGCAGTAGTTATTGCATCAAATATTTAATGATGTAATTCTAGTGCTTTACTCAAAGCAAAATTGTCACAGGACAGTTGGATAGGACAAGTAAGATTTTTTTCATAATAATAAATTCTCTTCCAATTAACTCCCATCTCCCAAAGTGATTTAATAATTCATTCTGAAAATGTACAATTAGCTTGTCAAGCATGCCAGTATTTCTACGCAGCTTTAAAATATTTTGCTACGAGCAGCTTTTTAGCCATTCCAGATAGGTTGCCCCTCACCCTGACTTATAAGCCTCTGTTATATCATTTATAAGCAACAATGATTTCCAAGTGTTTCATGTTGCATTGCTGATTCCATGCTTCCGGATTCCATTAACCTCCCTTACTTCTCGACCAGCCAGAATGCAGTGATGTGCAACGTCAGTGTTCAACCCTTAGTGGAGGTTTCAACCCCACATCTGATGTATTGCCAGGACTGCCTCGCTCCAGAATGCTGACCATATACCCTTTACAACTGCTTTTGAACCCTTTCCATGCCTTTTATCAGCTGAATGATAGCTTGTGACAATTTCTTCTCAACTGGCCCTTCTTGGACTCAACTTTTGGGAAGTTCAGTTTATCCAGAATTCTATTGCACTGTTCAGATTCCCAAGTCCAATCACCTCGATCCTTGGTTCACTGGCTCCCTGCACCACAGTAGGCTGATTTTCAAAACTCTAGTCTTTGTTTTCAAACTCTATCCAAACAAATGCCTCAAATCTCACCTTCCAATCATTTGCCTTTGATTCATTGCTCGTGACTTGTTCCCTCTTGCTCCACCATTAGTCTGAATATTTACCAATCCTGGTAGTCACCAAACCCCTCCTTCCTGCTTTCAGAAATCTCCTAAAAACTAAACTCTTTGACTATCTTCAGTCACCTCTAAATTTCTCCTACTTCTTACCTTCTACATATTGTTCAGCTTGTTAAACACTTTGAGTCATTCTTTTATGTAAATGTTGCTATTTAAATATATGTTATTGTTGCTCTCATCCAGGACATGAAGTGCGCAACTCATTATAATGTGGGTGGGGTGCATTCGTGAAAGAATGCTTTCTCCCTTTTGTTCAACATTTCCTTTTATCATACAAAGCATTAAATTATCCTAATTGTTATTACAAATATCAAGTACTGATGAAAGTTCAGCACTTCAGGCTGATGTAATGCATTTTGAAGTGTTCAGGTCAGATTTGTGAATCTGTTGTGAATTGCAAATTATTTGGTGCAGATGAAGAAAATATTTCCTGGCTCTCCTATGTTTGTCGACTTAGTGATTCAACCTCGCTTTTGTTTCAGTGTGCAGCAGCCCACCAGTGAACATGACTATGCAGCCGGTAAACAGGACAGCGCTACTTGTCACCTGGACCAAACCAGAAAACATCTATAACCCACCCATTATCAATTACTTGATCTCCTACAGCTGGACTAAAGATAAAGAGGAAAAGGAGCAGACTTTCAGGAAGAACAATGATCACAATTTGGTACGTCCCTTTCAAGACAAAGTTTTACCAGCATCCATAGATAAAATGAACATCAGACTCAATAGCTTCTTAATAATAATCCTTGCATTTGATATAGCATCTTATCACATCTTGAGACATCTCAAAGCACTTCACAGAATATTCTGTAATGTGAATTGACTGTATATTTTGTGGGCGAAACATGGCAGCTAGTTGCACACAACAGTGTCCCACAAGCAGTCGTGGATTTAGTGACCAAATGAATATTATTTATTTTAAAAATATAGAAGGGATTATTACCCCGGAAAAGCGATTTGTTAATCGACTAACAACCGGGTTCTGTGGAGTAAGGAAACTTGTTCCTGCCCGGGCTTAATCAGGCTGAATTAATAACTTCCACCAACTTACAAAATGAGCGCATTGGTCTTTTTCTATCAGAAGTTTATTCTGTTTTAAGGTTTAATGAAAGCAATCTCTCACTTGGAATGACTTGCCATTTTAATTCTTCCTAGGCTATGCCCTGCCAAGAGCCTTATTTTGCTGGGGAAAGAAATTGCAGATTCACCAAATGCAGCAGGGAATGTCTAACTCAATGTGCACTGCACAAATAGTTTCATTTTCTTTCCCAATAACATTCTTTCATAGAACAATGTAACAGAAGGTCATTAGCTCTTCTAAGATTTTAATTTTGCTAAACATTGATGGTTCTTCTGATTTGATGAAGCTTTCAAAGTCAAGCCTCTGAGAAATATCCAATTTTTTTCAGGGTCAAAATGTCATCAATGGAAGGAAACTGATTAAATTAAACCTCAGCTAATTATATAACAATACGGACCCACTTTCCAGGATAATAATGAAATCATTAGAAAATGAGCAATCAAATTTACTTAGACTAATTAACTGATAACACTGAATCACAAGAGGCACTGCAAAGAATGATGTTATTGTACTGTAATAAAAACTAGTTAGCAGGATTCGTTAAAGGCAGTCAGTCACCAGAACTGTACTGGCCATGGACATTGGAAGACCTTGGCATTGAACACTCCTCTGAACATTGTTCTCTTCAGTTTTTTGTGCACAGGTCCATCCAACACATTTTTGTTGGATTTCGATGCAACAACAACAACAAAAATTATATTTGTATAGCGCATTTCACGTCAGGAGGATGTCCCAAAGCGTGGACAGTCAGTGTTTTGGACCCGAGCTGGGGGTCGGGAACGGGAAAGGTGGAGAGGAGGGGGAGGGAAGGAGGGTGATCAAAGGCACAGTCGAAGAAGAGGGTCTTGAAGGAGGCAAGGGAGGGGGTGAGGCGGAGGGACTGCGGGATGGTGTTCCAGAGGGTGGGGGCAGAGTGGCAGAAGGCCTACTTGCTGTGGTGAGGCGAGTAAGGTAGGGGCCGTAAAGCAGGCCGGAGCCTGCTGAGTGGAGGGAGCGAGCAGGATGGCAGGGAGTTAGGAGGTAGGGGGTGCAAGGCCATGGAGGGCTTTGAAGCTGAGGACCAGGATCTTGAACTGTATCCTCTCTGTGATGGGAAGCCAGTGGAGTCGGATGAGGATGGGGGTGATAGGGTGACAGAGCCTGGTATGGGAGGAGACACGGGCTGCAGAGGTATGAAGGCGCTGACCGGACCCAATCAGGAGGGCCTTGGTCTTGTTGATGTTCAACCGTAGAAAGTTAGCTCTCATCCAAGACATTCTGTCAGGACATCAGTGGTCCTGGAGTCGAGTGTGGAGGCAGAGAGGTACAGTTGGGTGTCATCCGCATACACATGGAAGTTGACCCCATGTCTGCGGATGATGTCACCAAAGAGGGAGCATATAGATATTGAAGAGGAGAGGACCAAGGACAGAGCCCTGAGGAACGCCACACGAGACGGTGCGGAGGCTAGAGGAGAATCCGTTCGTAGAGATGAAGTAGAGACGGTGTGATAGGTACAATCTGAACCATTCAAGGACAGAACCATGAAGGTTGAGGTGAGAGGAGAGGCAGTGGAGGAGGACAGAGTGGTCAATGGTATCAAAGGTAGCAGAGAGGTCAAAAAGGCATGTTTTGTTCTCAGCAGGATATGTTGGATAAAGCAAGGGATAAATTGTTTTTTGAATCATGAGTTACAAGTTTGATAAATGCACAGCAAAGAATAAAACTAGGAAACTGTACGAAATAACATTCACAAAGTTGCTGCCTCTAAAATTAAATGTAAAATCCCTTTCAATGCAAGTGTTGCTGAAATTCGCTGGGGTGGGGGAGAGGCAAAAGCAGCATTTTCTTTTACTAGCCTTGCTTAACTTTATTGCAATGTGGCTTATAGAGAGAAAGCATGCTATGCATTTTTTTTGAAGGGATTATTACCCCCAGAAAAGCGATCCGCTGATTGACTATCAACCGGGTTCTGTGGAGTAAGGAATCTTACCCGATGTTTCATCCTGCCCAGGCTGAATCGGGCTGAATTAATAACTTACAGGGTGAATTCTCAACTTAAAGTGGAGAAATCTTGAAGGAATTTTGATATTCTCTCACTCCCCGGCTCTTTTCTCTAAAATATCACATCATGAATTTCATTGGTATCTTTTGTATCTTGTTGTTTTTGTATCATTTGTATTTGTATCTTGTTCACTAATTTACTGTATCCTCACAAAAAACACAGATTTTCTGGACAGAATGTTTTAGTTCCTAGCATTTTGATTGCATGAAATGTGAGTGTTTCACTATCCTTTATGCAAAGGCACCATCCCATGCCTTGTTTTACTGTTTTATAGAATCAGATTTTGTCTATTTGTTATATTTCAAGGTTCTTTTATTCATTTCCATTTCTACTTACAATATCTTTTTAAAAAAACATTGTTATCTGGGTTCCAATAATAGATAACTCATTTTATGAAGTCTTCTAGGGATCGATCAAAATACAGTCAGTGTTGTGATGCATTGCTGTGTTCTCCTTTGTCATAGCTGGCTATTTTGGATCAGATCTTTGTCTAAATTAAATAAATAATTACAGGCATAAATCACATATGGCAGGAAGAACAAAGGCAATGTGCTTACTTTGGATTATTTACTTTGGGAGGAATTTGATAAAATCAATTTGCATACACTAGAGAATGACATCAAGATAACTGTTTCATTAAACATTATACATTAGACCATCTTGTAATGTTTTCCCCTACTTCATGCACTCCTATTGAATATCTATCCTTCAGTAGAGTGGAGGATTTAAGATCTTTATAAAGTAAATTAACAGAATAAATTAAATTGAAGTAAGAGTTTTGCAGGCTGCTGTTGAGTATTGCTTTACAAAGACGGCATAATTGGGTAGCCTGATCACTCAAATACAGTTTAACATGGATGTAGTTGTGGACAGATTAGAACATGCTGTACTGGTGAGTAACACCAATCCACGCATTGTAGATTCAGTTTCTCCCACATCAGGGAGTTCTGTTGGGACTTACCATCTGGAAGCCGCTCACTTGTTGGGCAGTTGGAAGGAGAAGGTGGGGGAGTTAACCCAAAACGAACCATTTCATTTTTGCAATTCAACGCTATTTCAAGCTTACGATGCATTGTATCAAACTCTGATACGTTGTTACCTATTATCCTGTGCCTGATCCACCACATTGCATGGTACTGCTTTTGCCCTTTTTTTCCTCAGAATAGAAAAAATCTAAAGATGGCCAATACAAATATGAATTTGCCATACTGTTCTTCAAGTTCGCCCTCAGCCTTACTTGTTAAATGCTGAAGCCTAGAGTCCATACTTGTGTGTTAAGCGTGGGATACATCTTTTGTGTAACTTTCCCCGCTTTAGAATAAGCTGAATTGAAATTATTTTTCTTGCATTTGTCCATTTGCTACAGTCTAATCACAGTAAGTCACACTGGAGACTGACTTATCTCTTCATAAATCTATTCCTTATCACCTACAAGATAATGGCTTTATACTGGAGTATGTTTAAATGGAGTCTCTTAAGTATCTGTATGTCTGTGATTTAGGGAATAGTTGAATCCCTCCAGGCAAGATCATTCTTATTCTTAAACAGATGGGTGTGGAACCTTCCTAACTCGTATTTTGTTTTTCCAAACGATTCTTATTAACCCAAGTTAATGAACCTAGAGTACACAACTAATGTTAGTTTGTGCTTAAAATTAACAAAAGGTGGCATGTTCTTGCCTGAAGAGCTTTAGTCATTTTAAGACCGTGTCTGATACTAATTGCTTGCACAATTTATTTAATGAATGTGAAATATGTAATTTGTTTTCTTGTATTTCCAACACAGGAAGCAATTATTAATCATGTTTCCCTGGATAAACTGTACCTGTTTCGTGTTCAAGCGGTCTGTCAGAATGATCTGCGGAGTGATTTTAGCCAAACAATGTTGTTTCAAGGTGAGTTGAAGTGACGAACATTCTTCTGTTCATGTGTATAGGGAGAGTGACCAATAGCTTGAAATATTTATATTTATTAAGCACTAATCAATTATTTTATTTCCCATCTTTTTTCGCGTGGAATTAGTTGTTTCATTTTTATTCTTATTTGCTTTTGTGTCTTCCCTGCCGTGCATCTTCTACTCCTTTGTTGTGATATTTCTGTTCTACGCCAGGAGAGGATTTAACACATCTGATCAATTCCTGAGTGCACAAAATCTAAATCTATGGCATTATGGTATGCAAATTATGGTAACAGGCAACTGTCCTAGAAACTATAATGGAAATATTGGTAAAATAGTTGACAACTAGGTCAACATAAGTAATGTAAGGTGCTAAATATTTTGGGCTTCTGCAAATTCAACTCAGATTGTTAAAAGATTCATTAATTTTTTGAAAATGAATATTTAGAAGGCTTTTGAGAAGCTCCAACTATTGTGTAAATACCTTAAAATAGTTGATTCTATGTGATCTGCAATGAATGATTGGTATGAATACAGGTACCTCCATTAAAACGTAATAGGAAGCGAATTAGTCACCCTTGACTGCTCTCCATAATGCTTTTTGTGCTCATGAAAACAAGTTGTGACTGACTGTCCATCCAGCTAGTTACCAGAACACAGTAACTACGCGTCTTCAGGGTGCCTGCATTTTATGTGAATTTCTGCTGTAGAAAATGTATAGGAATGTATTTCAAGGCCCTGACACATTGTGGGATTTGGGTTAGTTCATGGGCGGCAAGAGCAAATCTTAAGCAGTCATAGACTGCTGACAACCTAATGTTACATGTGCCTTTGAAACTGCTCTTGGAGGTGTTTTATATTTATAATTCATGCTCTTTTGTCTTTTTTGACCTCCTTTTGGCTCCTTGTGTTGCTATGCTTTGCCATATGCCTGCTATACTTTTCCTAATCTGCTGTCTTCAGACCAGAAGTGGTGTGTTTTACAACACTAGATTTAATGAGATATAAGCTACTATATTAAAACGAAACTGACTTGCAAAGGGAATACAATCAGCTAAGCTAGTCATTAAAAGGGGAGATGGAACCAAATTTCACATAGGAGTTTTTCTCATGCAGTGAAGTCTATAGCTGCATCGTTCTGCTGAAGTAAAAACATTGTGGCATCATCCTTCTTCCCAATCTCTCTTGTTCTTTCCCATAACTCATGGTGACAGTTTTTTTCATTCTTGTAGCTTGCTGAGTTCAATAATAATATAGTCGTATTGCGGAATGATGAAAACGTTTTTGTTATCGCCTTCTTGCACATGCATTGCACACCATGATAAAGCTGTGTTTGGTAACGCATTGAGCTTAGTAAACAGCACCAAGATGCCATTGCTGTAAGAGAAGATTGATGTCTGTTGCGTATTGTCATACAGAAGATGGGGAACAGTTGAAGTAATTCAAAATCAATCATAAGGTGGTGCAGTACACACTCGCTATAGAGAGTGAGATAGATGATATAAAAGCCCAAAAGACAATTCAGATATGGGAATCTTTAGATGAAAGCAATTATTCAGTCCAAGGGTTAAGGGATGCACACCATATGTAAAAAACACAATTTTATCACTGTTTCAAACTAACTCAAGAACTTGCACAACGAGTGTGTTCATTTCACATTTAATTCTGTACTTGAATGATATTCTCATTTAGGTTTTGCTTGAAAGTATGGAGACTATTGTCCTGCCTTTTGGCTGGAGAGCCATACATTTTCAGTTTGGAAATAACTTTAGAAAAGTAATACTTTGTTTAATGGATGGTGAGGAATCTAGAGAGTTTTTTTGGGGGGTCTCTATCATAATAAGCAAATAGCTTGTGGGAAGGAGCCTGAGGTTTAAAATATCTGTTTCGAAATAAATTGCAACCTTGTGATAATGCCCTCACCCCCAGCATTTCAGTACACACGGAGTCTGGTTCTGACTAGCTGGCTAAAAAAATAGCTGACCTCTTGTGCACAGGAAGTTACATCGATGGCGACCTGATAACCCGGAAGTTGGCTTTTTTTTCCACTTTGCTTAGAACATAGCCTCTGTGATATTGGACCCACACAACCATATTATAACAGGGTTTCCTGTTCGTCTCTATAAAGCAGCCAAGGCCAGAAGATAATTCCTTTTTTGTTACAGTATTTTTCTAATTCCTTTGAATATTGCAAACTCAGATGTATTGTTCATTATTTATTTACATTTAAATCACTTTTTGTTCTTATTTAAGCTAATACAACAAGAATATTTGAAGGAACCAGGATAATAAAAACAAGAATGGTAAGTATAGGAATTAATCTGTTGAATTTCTGTATTTGAATCATTTCAAACCAATGGCCTATCTCATAACAATGGGTAGAATGTACATCTGTGAACAATTGTCAAGAGATATTTTTGGGCTAATGGGAATCCAGAAGGCTTTTATTCCAAACTAAGGAAAGTGGCAATTTAATGCTTCTTCATCAGATACCGTTTTTTATATTAAGATTTAAAAATTAAAGTGGAAAAAGGCAGTGAATTTGATTCTGTAAATCCTTGAGACTTTCTCAAGAAGTATAAGGGACAATTTCAGTCCCAGGCTTGTCCTTATGATCACCGGTGATAATTATCAAATCACACAAATAAATTAAAAATTCAATTTGCAGCACAATTGTTCTTAAAGGAGGAAAAAATATGAATTAGAAAAAAAATAAAGACAAAATAGATGAATTGGGCTACTGTTTAATGTTTAGTTTTAATTTTAATAGGATGTACAAAGCTGAATTTGATCAAACAAGCCTGCTCCAGGTTTTGAAAAAGAAAACAAATAAGGGAATTATAGGCACCTGGAAGAAATCTATGTTGCTATGTGGGTTTCAGAAAGGCAGGTTACCTTACCTTTCTGCAAAAGCGTGTTATAGCTGTACTTGTAGAAAGGTCATTGCTGTGAACATATTTAAGGACGTTCCAGATTTGACACGCTTAAAATTATTGCAGGACTTCACATTATCAGTAGGTTTCCTCCATTTACGTTGAATAATAGGTTGCCGCATCTGAAATGTAAGGAAGGAAGAAATTTGAATTTCAACAGCACTATTCTCCTGATTCGTAAGCACGTTGCCCATCTCCTGATGCTCAGAGTTCACCAGTAGGTGGCAGCAAAATGATTGTTAAGCCTATTTAATAGGCCTTCCATTGTTTGTCCACGACATGAAGCACTTGTCTTCCGAGTGGCAAAACACTTAATGTTGATCTGATCGTAATAATAAGTACCTTCTTAAGTGCCGACAATATTTTGACTTGCAAAGTATTAGCGTTTTATGAAAGAGCAAAGCAATCACTTTGGATTTCTACAAACTGCTAGGATTCTCTGGCCAGCATTAATTTATATATTCTCGTGCCACCGCCTCCCCCATTAGATTTTTTTATTGACCTTTATTGCTATTCATTTTCTTCATGCCTTCTACACACGCAGGATTTAAGGATGTGCTTAATCACATCAATCAAAGAACATAATTCCATTAACCACGGAGCAGGATGATATTGTATTCTGGAACATTAATTTTAATGTTAACCTCTTGTAGTGTTAGTTGAAGTAGTAATGATTATTAGAAGCTATCAAATATTTACAGTAGGATTTGTTCAGTGTTTTATGTGATGAATAGGTTCATTTAATGCTATTAATGCCTCTTATGAACACGTTTTTTGGTCATTTAACCATTTCAGTTCTACATTTAATTCTGCTTTTGCAATATCCCCATGATATCTATGGTATTAAATTATGTAAAATCTTAAGTGAGTGTGAGCAATAAAATGCAGAACTATTTTTCAATAATTTTGCATGAAACTTAAAAAAGGTAATAATAACTGACTGTAATTTCATGCAAATGAAGATGATAATGCATAATACGTGTGCCTGACATAATAGACAGCAGATGGAGTTTGAAGTAAGAACTGTATGGGCAGGGCATCCAGATTGATGACTAGGTTTGCAATATAAAGATGTTATCACAAGATTAGAAGAGAGGGCCAGATGAAGATGACTCTTTGATCCATTTAATCTAATCCTTCCAGAATACTCAGCTTGCTCCTCCCCTTACAGCCGCATGCTGTTTCTTGAACTACCTTTCCTAATAACCTTTATATTATCATGGATCTTCACCTGTTAATATAGTCTGTTCCTCTGTTCTAAATCCGATTATATTTAAAATTGTAAGACACTATAATAATAATAATAATCCTTGCATTTGATATAGCGCTTTTCACGTCTTTTCAATGTCTCAAAGCGCTTCACAGAATAGACTGTAAAGTGAACCAATCATACTGACCGTATGATTGGTTCAAACAATAAGACATGGCAGGGGTTCAATCGACTCAAATGTTAAAGTCATAATTAGAGTCTTACAATTTTAAACCTGCCGGGGAGAGAGACTGAGCTTTCTCAGCATCAGTAGTTTGTATCCTTCACATTGGCTGAAGGAAAATGCGCTTTGCAGAATCGGAGAGATTCCTTTGCAGTCATAAAGGCGGTTTTAAAAATAAAGCGGTCTTCCTCAGGTTCTTTAAAGAATTACAGAAAACTGGTTTCATTGTAAGACTTCATTCAAGAATTTGCCAGATTTTGCACTCTCTGAAATGCTAAAAAAAATGATAAATTTACCAAGGTGGAATTTCTCTTCTCTCTGTCCTCCAACCTCTCCCGATGCCCATAATGCTAGTGTTACACCTCACAGATATTTGTTCAAATTCACTGGAAATCAGAATAAAAGCCTCCCCCGCTCTCTGATGGTGTTAAAAGTCTCGGTAGGAACTAACATTCAAGAAAAAAAATATTGCCCTGATTCATGAAAGGCACCAAACACAAAAAATCATAATCAATTGTGAGGAACTGTATGCTTACAATGATAATCTCTCAATGTGCACACTATTGTGGCAGCCCACATGCCAGTAGCGCTTTCCTTTTGTATGTCACAGCTAAGCATTCATCATTGCTCATCATGCTCTATACTGCTATAAAAGTGAACATTTCAATCTTAGCAGTAAAGTCACAGCTGAACGCCAAGAATAGGAGGATAATGAATTAAGGTGCCTGATATAAATGGGACAGTTTGGGATAATTTATTCTTCTTCCCGGACAGCAGCTATTTGTTGGTTTAGGAATATTTAGAACATGTTTAGCAATTTATTATAAGATGACACTCTAATTAAGGAATGGAAGAAAAATAGTTTTGTGATCAATTTACATAATCAGCGGCCGCAACTCATGTGGGTCCTGCATCTTTTTAAAAAAATATTGATAAAATCATGTCCTTGAAGACAGCAATAAGGGGATGCATCGTTCTGCTAATGCTTTCACATTCAGACACTTAACAAACCATTCAAGGATTTCCCCAGAGGAATCTTTTCCTTTTAATTCTGCAGGCTTGAGTTAAAATTATTTTGCATCACTACCCCGGAGGTGGGGAGGCGAGTGGAGTGGGTGGGGGGAGGAGGCTGTGGTGGGACCAGGTGTACAGATTCAAGCAAAAAAGGAAGATGAAAAGAAAGTTCAGAATTAAATAATTTACGCCAAGACCGATTAATAAGTGTAATAGACAAGGGGAGTAGTGGAGACAGATTGAATCAACAAATTCTCAACTGACTCAGCTATTTGGCAAATAATTCAATTGAGAAGGATGAAAGATAGATATATTGTAAAAAAAATTGTATATGTCTTTATACAATATATAAAGTATATATTTCATTTCATGTTAGACTAAATAGATTGCATTTCAATCCTATATATTCCAAAGCTCCAATTTTGATCTATTCCGACTTCCCCCAAATCTACCCATGGGGAAATTCTTTGCAGATGGTGTTGCTGAGGCAATATACTATGTGGAAAATGTTATCCACCTGCAGTTTGATAAACTAATTGCAGTGTTGCATATTATTTTTTGCAAAGGTATGTTTTTATAAGCACTTGATTATTGTCTGCGCTTCGCTACTTTGTTTTTTCTTGCTGTCATATATTTTATTTTTAAAATGCAATGGTGCCTTCCTGAAGGACCTGCTCTCATAATTTATCTATGATTAAATCTAAAAGTTTAAAACGGAAAGCTTATTTTTCTTGTTTATCCGAGTGTTGATGTGAAGTAAAGGCAGAAAGAACCATCGTACGAGTATGTGTGGTCTGGATATTGTCTTATTTGATGCCTTTTTGGCTTCAGCATGTACATATTTGGTTCATATTCAAATAGATTTAAGATGATGAATAACTATATCAATTACTGCAATGTTAATACACAGTTTAGTCAATACTGTGGGCTTGGAAATGTGGAATTGAATGGAACTTTAATGGAATTCTCAATAACAGAAAAGGAATGAAGTTATCGTGATCATGGAAAGGAGGTTGTTGGAGATAGGACTGCGGGAGTTCTTTTGGAAATTTTATTTTTCTAAAAAAAATGAATGTGGAACCATTTCAAACAATTATTGTAACTTACCCTGTAAATTGTTTTTCCCTTTCAAATTCCTCTGCTTCTTCACTCAAGCCCACAGCCTCCCCTGCTTCTTCTGCTGATATGGCTCCAATCAGTTCTGGGTCATCTACATGGACTTCTTCTGGCCTTACTTTACCCTTTGTTTCTATGGCAACTGGAATGGGCCCTTCATCCAGTGGAAGCCAAACAACTGTGGCCTCTGTGGTAACAAGTACTTTACTTGCAAGTCTTGGTTTCGGTGGTAGTATTGTCCCTTCCTTTTCTGGTACTGTGTGGCCCACCCGCATCCCCTCTGTGTCTTCAGCCACCAAGCAGCGAGCCAGACCTGTAGTTTCAACTACTGAAGCGTTATCGTCCCCAAGCTCCGAAAGTGGCTCTGCACTTAACAAAACAGACGAGGCAGAAAGTGAAGATGAAAAGAAAGAGAGTGAAGGCAAGAAAGGAGAGGGGGAAGAAAGTGAAGGGGGTGAAGAAGAGAGTGAACAAGAAGAAGGTTCGAGGAAAGAGGTTGCGAAGAATGAGGAGAATGCTGTAACTCCAACAACTACAGAGTCGCAAAATAGGACTGAGCCAGGAACCTCCCCTGGAGATCCGAGCGGCTCAACAGAAGAAGTCAAAAAGCCAACCAGTCAACAAAACCTTTCAAACACAGTCGCGGTTCATACAAGTGACACTTTTCTACAAACAACAGTTGAACCATCACAAGCATCATCAAGAGTTGCAACAACCGAGAACTATCAAGTTAAAACAGTCGGCAAACCTACAACCCTATCAAAAACGCAGAATGGGCTGGACAGTGACAGTTCTGCTGGAAATAAGTTTGTCATGGTGGATCAAGGTTAGTTGATGATAGTTCTTGTTTCATGTGTTTTGTGTTTTGTTTAGAACAGAATGTCTGTCTTATGTGCAGCTTAGATTTTGCTTTATCACTTGCCAGTTTATTTGACACTTTGTTATAAAGACAATACAATTCTAGTAACACAAAGCATATGTCATAGTGTGGATATATTTGGATCTTTCATCAAAACTGACGTACCTGGCTTTGAGATGGTCTAAAAGTGTTCAATATATGTCATGAAATGGAGAGAATCCTCGCCATTAAAATTGACTTTGGTTAGGATGTTCTGGCAGCATCAACCTCCATGGTTGCACACTATAACTCACCAAGCCCGTCAGGAACCCAGGTGTCTTGTTTGACCCTCAACTGTCTTTTCTTCCCCACATCCAAGCAATGACCCGCTCTGCTTTCCCTCACCTCCGTAACATCGCCCGACTCCGCCATTACCTTACCCCTCAGGCCGCTGAAACTCTTACTCATGCCTTCATCACCTCCAGGCTCGACTATTCAAATGCCCCGCTTGTCGGCCTTCCCGACTCCTCCCTCCACAGGCTGCAGATAATCCAGAACTCTGTCCTCTCCCGCACCAAACTCCGTGACCCCATCTCGCCTGACTCCATTGGCTCCCTATCCTTCAGAGAATCCAGTTCAAGATCCTGGTCTTCACCTACAAAGCCCTCAATGGTCTCGCCCCACCCTACCTCTGTGACCTCCTAACCCCCTACCAAACCCGCCCATTCCCTCCGCTCAGCCAGCTCTGGCCTGCTCCACGTCCCCCAATCCACCCGCCCCACCATTGGCGGGAGAGCCTTCAGCCACTCTGCCCCCAACCTCTGAAATTACATCCCCGAATCACTCCGCCTCACCCCCTCCTTAGCCTCCTTCAAGTCCGCCTCAAGACCCGCATCTTTGACCATGCCATCGCTCACCCTGCTTCCCCTCCCTTCTCCCCCCCTGACCCCAGCTCTGGTCTGAAATGCTATACACTGTCCAGTGCCTTGGGATGTCCTCCCGACGTGAAAGGCGCTATACAAATGTAATCTTGTTGTTGTAAAGTGTACCTTATTATACATCATTCTGTGGTAAATTCGGAATGAATGAAGAAGCAAGCTGTTATAACACCATTTGTACGCTAGGTGGCAATAAGGCAGGCAGCTGTTATATTTGCTTTGTTGCTAAATTCAATGTGAAAAGTAAATATCAGTTTTTTAAAGCAGTATTTTGTAAGTTAGCCTACTGGCTTGATGTACATCATGGAACATGTTCAGCATATTTAGATAACATCTCCCCTCCGAACCCACCATTAGATTCAATTACTGAGGTTTATTCATTGCGATTGTTGTTTGCTTGAGTAACATATCCAAGATAGTAGCAGTTTTCATTGGTAATTCGATTGATTACTGTAAAAATATATATTGTCAAATTTGTCATTTCGCCCACAAATATACAGTCAATTCACTTTACAGTATATTCTGTGAAGCGCTTTGAGACGTCTAGAAGACGTGAAAAGCGCTATATCAAATGCAAGGATTATTATTATTATCCGAACAATTTCAAGGATTAGAAAATGTATTGTCTGTCATCACTGCTGTCCCCTTTATTGATAATCTAAGTTCATGTATTACAGTGCTCCCCACTTATCTCAAGCCCGTTTATATAGATGCATGTCTACATAAATTTGAAAAATGTTCAAGTCGCTAACTAGCATTATTACCACTTATGTCGACAAAATTTGCTGGGTCCCTGCATTGTCAATATAAACAGGTAGGACTGTATATAAGTAAAGGTTTCCAATCACTTGCTGATAATTAAGCAAATTATATGAAAAATATGAGTCTAAAGCTTCACGTGTTTCTGCTTGGCTGATTTCATGGAACATGGAAATTGCACCAATAGATGGAACCGATTTTGCCCATCAAACCCATGCTGGTGCTTCTCCACTAGAGCTACTCTAATCTAATTCCCTGTTACAATCCAATTCCCTACTATTTTTCTGTTGCCTTTTAAATTTTTAATGTTCTGTGTTTATTCAATTCGCTTTCAAATGCTTTTGGCCACTTAAAAATCTACCTCTTCAACTATGTCAACAGTCACCTCTCTTTTAACCCATTGCCAAGTGGAATTTGGAGAATGAACTTTGTGATAAACATTTATTCACTTTACAACTTGCTGTCACGTTACTTTACAACAATTCAGTTTAATTCACAGAAGACAGTAAACTAGACTGTAAACCACATTTCCTCATCCATATTGTCACAAAATGAAAGTTAGAAGCCACTGTTGTATATCTTTTCACAGAACTGTTTGGTGGGGAGAACTTGTTACCTTTAAATACTTTCATTCATTCCTGAGAAGAACTGATGTTTGCAAATTATGAAGGAAAACTTTTTTCTCCTATTGTGAAAATAATGTGTTTTAAACTTTTTGGCAAAGTTTGTGTAATGATTTGAGATTCGAGTTGTGACCAACAAGTGAGAAGGGAATAATGTTCAGATGGAGCCAAATGCAGTTTTACTCATGCAATGTGTGTGAGCACTATACAAGCTTATGCTGATGGTGCTTAAACCCATTACAGTAATGATTGAACATTTATTATAGAATGCATTTCATCATTCATTGCTGCTTTTGAATGCTGAGAACAAATGGCCTTGCTTTCTACTCTTGGCCAGTATTAAAATAAGCCTCTGTAGAAAGGACTTCTCTTGCTCAAGAAAGTCAGCCACAAACTGCAGCAAACGCTTGAATAAATGGCTTTTCTCCTCCTTTCCCACTCTACACACAAAGACAGCTTCTCAAGCTGTGGTAGAAGGAAAGTTAAAAAGAGCAAATGAGCTGGAAAAGTGTAGTGAATTAAGACTGAAGAGGCAGCTGTGTTCCCTGTGATCTCTGGCAGGTAGAAGAGACCATATGGTTTCATCTTGACAATCATGGAATTCTGCACATATCAAACCAAGGTTTTAAGGAACTGCCATGTACTAAAAGTGTTCTTTACTCAGATTCCTGGAATATATCAGAATGTGACTTTCGTGAGAAAGCATCGATCAAATCTTTTCTGCAGTTTATATTGTCCATGTTTCTGTGAAGAAAAAGTAGAGAAAATGTCCTTATTGTTAAGAATCTGTTGCATTTATTAAGTTCTAACACTCTCTTTCATTTGTGTCTGTCTTTGATTTGGAGCTGCATAATATATCAACACTCAGATCAAATTTCAGTGAAAACTTGAAAAGGAATTTGCTTCTGTTTTTTTTTTAAAAATTGCCATATTGTTTTATTTGCCAACGTCATATGTAATCTAGTTCTAGGTAGATTTCTAATCTTAGATACATGTCTGCCGAAAGATTCCATACAGTGATTAGAAATCTAATCCCTTGTACAAGGTCAATGAACAGTTGATGCTGCACAAATTGGTACAGTACAATCTGAAATGATTGAGTCGAAGTGGCTATTCTTCCGTAAAGCTGTAGTTTGCGTGACATTTGATACAATTTGTACCCAAATATAAATGCACTGTTTTAGGCCTTTTTGCAGCGTACACGCTCATTCTATCGCTCATTGCAATTAATTGCAAGTTTACATGGGTTAATTGCTTTGCCCTATGCCCCAGAATGATACATTATATGCAATACAATATATCTGGACATGATTTCAGTAAAATTTGAACAATGTCATATTTGTATTTAAAGTTCATTAGAATTTCATAGTACAATATTAGCTCTTTTCTGTGTTCATTGCAGATGATCTTATACATAGAGATAAGGTGTACGATGCACAATGTGCATTATAGGGGAAATTACATTTGTCCATAATTATGAACCAATCTTTTTATTAGTTATCAATTAAACTAGTGCACCTGTAGTTCCCTCCATACATCTGCGTTGATGCATGGTTTTCGCATTGCATATAATCCGTGACATGGTAAGTATAACCATGATGTCATTGCTTGTGTCCGAATAGTTTGCATTTTACATTCATAGCTGTTTCCATTTTAATTACTTGTCCAAAATGTGGTATAAAACTTGAGACACAATTTATGTGCCATTCGTAGCAATAACTCATTCACTCCCTGTCTCTTGTGTTGTTACAATTCTACTTCTTGACTATAAATTATATAAACAATCCAAGATCAAAGTTATTTTGTATGGCCAGACATGTATGTACAGAATATTAGAATTCTGGAGTATCTGCCCACATCCTCATAGGTTGAATAACTGACATGAATTTTCATTCAGAGAAGTGCTTGTTTTCCAGCAGATGCAGTAAATTTCTTATTTACGAGAAAAATTTCCATTTGTAATAATATTTGTTTCTTTAGATTTTATTAGAAAATATATGAGGCCTTTTTTTGTGAAGTGAGTGAAGCAACCACTGCAAGCTCATTTCTCCAGTATCATCATCTTATACAATATGTGTTCATCCCAGTCAAAGTCAAGTAATGTGCTTCCATCTCATGCTTCTGTACTTTTACCCATCAGAAAATACACAATTGCTACCCTTTACAGTAAATCCTGTTAAGTGCTTCACGATATTCTCACGGCTTGAAAGGCGCTATGTAAAATCCAAGGATTATTTATTTTTATTATCTACCTCATCTTCGCCCTCAGTCATTCTTGGCTATTAATCATATCCTGCTTTAGTCACAGTAATGTCCTGCAGCTCAGTGGTTAGAGCACTCGCCTCGCAAGCGAGAGGACCTGGGTTTGATTCCCAGGCAGGGCAAAACGTTGGATAAGTTTCCTTACTCCATATGCCTCTGTTTACCCAGCAGAAAGTAGGAATCCGATTGTTAGTCGATTGGCAGATTGCTTTCCCTTCTAAAATTTTTTTAAATAAGTAGAATTTGGGCACTCAATCAACAACTGTTTGTGGGGCACTGCTGTGCACAATTGGCTGCCGCGTTTCGCCTACAAAATATACAGTCAATTCACCGAGTAGATTATTATATTCTGTGAAGCTCTTTGAGACATCTCAAAGTCTCAAAGCTCGGGAATCAGTGCGGGAGTCACAGCCATCAGTGGGTACAGGTGCAGAGATGCCATTTCAAAATCTGAAACAACAGCTGAAACTCCCTGTGTGACGTCATTTTTGTTTGAAATCAGGTTTAGTACAGTTCTATTTTTATTACTACCATCTCCTTCCCTTTCTCTCTCTTCTCCCTGTAAACTTCTCTGTTATTCTCTGTAAACTTCTCTGTTGGGCAACCTGGTAAATAACGCAGTGAGTGCCCTCCCACCTCTCGCTGTCTCCTCTAGCCCTATGCTTTGTCTCCAGTCTCACGTGTGCATTTTGGCTGCCGCCCCCGACCCGAGCTGCTTTCCCCCAAAATGCCCCCATCCCTGTCCTCTACCCTGCATCACTCCCACTCTGTCCCACTCTCCCTCCGTCCTCCTCACCCTCCGTCCTCCTCACCCCCTATCCCCACTTGACCATCCCACAGCCTCCCTCGGCTCCAGCCTGGGAATCCTGTCAGGCTCACCGTGGTACTTGCCGTTTACTGTCCAGCAGCAGCCACACTGACTGCCCCATCCCCAATTATCATCACAAGGTCCACCGACCCCAGAACCTGGGGACAAACCTGTCCTCCCTCATCCATGTTCCCACCCTCCCTGTCAATCCTCTCTATCCCCCCTCTTGTCTCGCACATTTCTCTACCAACTGTCCCCTCTGTCCCCTACAACATGTCCGCTCCCTCTCCAACAAAGCCCTCACCTTCAACGACCTAATTGTTAATAGAAACATTGACATCCTTGCCCTCACATAAACCTGGATCACCCCAGGCAACACCTTCCCCTGACTGAGGCTACACCAAAAAAATTTCCCTGGACCCATATCTGCTCTCAAATTACCCATCTCCAACCTCCCTTTCTTTTCCAAGATCCTGGAATGAGTCGTTGCTTCCCAGCTTCACTCCTTCCTCTCCTGCCACTTCCTTCACGAACCCCTCCAATCGTGTTTCAGGGTTTGTTTTGGAATGCATGGTTGCAAATCAACTTCTCTCGCACCTCTCCATCCACTCCCTACTCGAACCCCTCCAGTCCGGATTTCTCCTGCCCACAGCAGAGACAGCACTCGTCAAAGTAACAAATGATGTCCTCTCTCTCTGTGTGACCAGAGCTCCCGCTGCTTCCTCATTCTCCTCAACCTCTCAGCTTGTTTGATGGACATCAAAGCCTGGATGTGCGCAAATGTCCTGCAGCTGAATGTCGGCTCCACTGGCTCCTCATTCCCCAGAGGACAGAGTTCAAGATCCTCGTTCTCACCTTCAAGGCCTCCACAGCCTTGCTCCTTCCTACCTCTGTGACCTGCTAACCCCATAGCAACCTGTCCGCGTTCTCCACTCAGCAGACTGCGGCCTGCTCAATGGCCCCCGCTAGGCCCCGATGGTGGGGCGGGCCTTCAGCCTCTCTGCCCTCACCCTTTGGAATTCTATCCCACAGTCCCTTTGCCTTGCTCCCTCCCTTGCCTCCTTCAAGGCACGCCTCAAGACCCTCTTCTTCAATCACGCCATCCTCCTATCCCTAACCGCCTAGCCCTCCACCCCTCCTGATCCCAACCCTCTGCTTGTGTCCACTGACTATCCAGCGCCTTGGTACGTGAAAGGTCCTATCCAAATGTAATTTGTTGTTGTTGCTCGAAGACTTGATAAGGCGCTATATCAAATGCAAGGATTATTATTATCAAAGAACAAGAATACACCCTCCTAAATCTTTTTTTAATGAGCAAACTTCCACGAGACTTACTTTCCAAGTAATTTAAAACAAATTGGAGTCTGCTTTAAATTAAAGTTTAATAGAGGATGATGCCATTGTTATGTGCCCCAGCTTAGCAGTAGAAAACATGCACAAAGCACAGACAGTTACATATTCCTGTGCATAGTGCACATTGCAAGCAATGCGCAGGATTTGACAACCAACCACTGTACTGTAATGGGAGTTTGCCTACGTTTAAGTTTAAATAAATTGAAATAAAAATGTAGGCTGAATTTTTGGGGCTCAGGGTGCAGTTCAATATTGCAGAATTTGGGATTATTTTTATTGTACAATATTTATCCATGAAGACTGAAAAAAATGTTTCCCTGCTAGCTTTCCTTTGCAAAGTACTATTTGACTCCTGCTGCTTGGTTGGATGCCAGGTGCACTGGAAATTGCAGGTCTTTTGCTGCATTCATACACCACGCATACTCGCCTCCCACATTGTTTGATTAACACCTTCACAATGCCTTTTCATTTTAGGGCATTAACTCCATCAGTGGTGCAGTGGTCTCTTTTTAAATGAGAACAAACTCTTGCTGTGCAAACTTGCACCTGCATTTGCTTTTGCTTTGTGTTTGAATTGTCTGGGAAAGCATTTACAAGGCTTGTCTAGCATCTGCGTCTTGTTCCAGCACTGCAGAAAAATGGTGTAAACTTTATTTAAACATAAAATGGCATCAGACATTGTGGCATCTGGAGATCACAATTGCGATTGAAATCTCCACTGTCTGTGACTAAGCATTTATACCTGACATCTGGCTGACATTTTTATTGCAAATTAAGTCTGTGTAAGCAGATAGGAATGGTGCCCTGGAACTGTACAGGTAAGAAGCATAGAATTAGTAGTTGTTGCTATTCACAGTAAAGCAGGATTAAGCTGTGCTGCATTAATTTATTAATTTAATGTATCCAAGAACTTTTCAATTTCTGCATTTTTGACATTTTATTTCTATTTTGAAACAGACAGCAAATCCTTTTCCAGCATGGCCACACAACCGTATTTACCCTCCAGCAAGATGGAATGGATAATCCCACTGGTGGTTGTCTCAGCATTAACATTTGTGTGCTTGATTCTCCTGGTGGGAGTGCTGGTTTACTGGAGGTAAGCTCGGAGCTGCTAATTTGCCATTGCCAAATATTTGAGGCCTAGCTAATCGACCTAATTTATGAGGCATAGGCTTTAACTTTTACTCTGCTGTTTATGGAAAAGTGAGGCCTAGTGAGGTCGTTTTTCAATGTTGAAATAAATAATATCTTTAGCAGTTCTTTCTTTTTGAGCCTTCTGACATCTTTTATTCCCCTATCCTTTCCAGCTGACAGCACAAGAGTACTCTGCCACACACCTTCTGTAGCTAAATGAATTGTCACAAATCCATAAGTTTCAATCATCTTTAAGAGCCCGACATGCAACCTTTACTCAAATACCGTTAAAGTTAAATGGTGGTCCCTTGGGAATGGAATAAACTTAGCAATCTACATGGCACACATTTTCTCCAATGATAAAAGTTAAAAAGAAACGTATGCCCACAAATATACAGTCAATTCACTTTACAGTGTGTTCTGTGAAGCGCTTTGGGACATCCTCCCGACGTGAAAAGCGCTATATCAAATGCAAGGATTATTATTAAAAAAAATAATTAAAGACAAAATGTATGCATTATAAATGCAGATCTGGTCAGACTGCTTTTTGTTCCAGAGTCCTTTACTGGTAATTACTCAAATATTCAGGGCTATTATAATCAAAGAGCAAAGTTATCAGTTGCCATTTGGTTGTTAAAGACAATTCAATGGGCATGTGCTGATATCAGGAGGTGGCCCTAGTAGAAGGATTCTTGGCTCCATTTCATTTTGGTGGTGTTTACAACAACAACAAGATTCCATTTATAGAGCGCCTTTCACGTCGGGAGGACGTCCCAAGGCACTGTACAGTTGGGTCAGGACCCGAGCAGGGGGGGAGTGGTCAGGGTGAGGGGAGGGAAGGGAGGGAGCGAGGAGGGGGTAGAGAGTCGAGAGGGGAGCTGAAGGCACGGTCAAAGAGAAAGGTCTTGAGACCGGCCTTGAAGGAGGAAAGGGAGGAAGCAAGGCGAAGGCATTGGGGGATGGAGTTTACTATGTTTACTCTGCTTTTATGCATTACATTTTTATCCTTCTAACATTCCAGAATACTTTGGAAAATTCAGAGAGCTGCAATTGCTGCATGTACTTTGTTGTGGCCGAGCGATGGGCAATGTTTTGTGGACCTGAAGTCAGTGGCAACAGATTTGGGTTCTTTATGTGCAGCTGTACATGTTCAGAAGGGAATCCTAGTTGTGATTGTTCATGTAGTTGGACACCAAACATATATCTTATACTTAACAAAAAGCAAAATACTGCAGATGCTGGTAATCTGAAATAAGAACAGAAGTCGCTAGGAACACTTAGTGGGTCAGGCAGCATCTATGGAGAGAAGAAAATGAGTTAACGTTTCAGCTCTATGACGTTTCGTCAGTTCTGATTCTATAACTTATACTTGTTCATCTAACAACCAATTGTGACCATCCTTAATTGCAGGGAGCCATGGTAGGTTGAGCCAACTTCCTGTTGACATCCTAGTGCAGGGAGAACTGAGCTGAATCAATTATTTTTATCATTAAGAAGTGTAAATTCCAAGATGCATCAAATCGCTGTGTAGACTCAAATTTAATTAAATGAACCTCATATTTATTAAAGTGCTATCCTGGCAAAATGTTGGAAAGGAATAAGAAACAGATTGCCAATTACTATAAATACCACCAATATTTGACGGTTTTGTCCTGAGTCAGTGGTTGTGCAAATTTATTTGTAAGAAATAAAATTGAATAAGATCATTTGCATTTGTTTTTGAATACACTTTTGGATGATATGGTTCCTTTATTCAAAAAGGACTATGAAAAATCGGCTTCCAAATTACGACTGAATTTAAGACACATTTTCCTAAAATTTTGCTTTATCTTAATTGTTAAGACAATGACCTAAGGAATCCCAATTTTGTTTTCATATTACTCAAGGTGTGTATTTAGAGATGCTTACCTGAATCGATGGTTATCCTGCCAGTATTATAACCTCTTAAAAATGTAATGTAGTTGAGATGTACTATCCTCAGTGAGCTCAAAGTCTGAGTAGCAGTAGTTTCAGGGTGGGTTTGTTCTTGGTAACTAAGGCTGATAGCTGCACTCCATCTTGTACTTTGGAGTGTTCTTCCTATCAATGAAATCCATGCTAATATTATTGGCCAAGATTGTGACTGACTATTTATTAAATTCATCATATGGCAGAATGCAGAAAATGGCCATCTTACCGCTGTGCAATAACTGCACGTATTTTGCATGTCCACTAAAAGAAGAACTTTAGATCTCCACACACAATCTTTTCTCTTGGTTGTCCAACGCATTTAAAAATGCATTTTTACTTCATTCGAAAAATGTTATACATATGAGAAATTAAGTCTTTCAACCCCTGAATTTCCACCTATACGACAACTTTGTCTTAAAATTTAAGATTATGCAGAATTGTAGAAAATTCTTAAATTCACTCATTATTTAGATGCTGGTTCTTTATATGAGCTGTAGAAAACTAGCTTCCAAATTAAGCAAAATTTAAGAATTTTCCACAATTCCAGCACAATCTTAAATGTTATGACAAAATTATCTTACAACCTGACTAGGTGGAATTTCAGAACAACAATGGTGTTTTTGGAGAAGTTAGGTATTGTTTGGCAAAATATAACTGTTCTAAAACTGATTTTCTATTATTCCAAATGGGATACCTAATAATAATAATAATCCTTGCATTTGATATAACGCTTTTCACACACTGTAAAGTGAATTGACTGTATATTTGTGGGCGAACGCGGCAGCCAATTGCGCACAGCAATGTCCCACAAACAGTCGTAGATTGAAAATGACCAATTTATTATTGTTTTGGGTTTTTGGAGAGATTATTTTTGGAGGGATTACCTAAGACCTCTGATTTGCATACCGTGTACCGTGCACATTATTCATCAATATGTTATAGTTCATAAATTGAGTACATTATTGGAATTTAAAAATAAATGCAGTACTGATTATGAATTCTACTGGAAAATTAGAAAATTAATGTTGAGGAACATTCTTTAGTTGTTTGTAGATTAAGGAATTCCTGTTGAAGTTTACGTTTTAATAGTTGTTTGTGCCCAAGTGGAACAAAGAGAATCTCATAAAAATACTGTGAAATTATTCTCAGTGGGTAATGGTTGGTTTGGTCTTCACTGCAGGGATAGTGTGTGAGAGCAGGTTTTGTGTTGTCTTGGCAATTTTTGGGGTTCATTTCAAAGTTTTCTTTTCAGAAACAAGTTGGTTTGATAACATTTAAAATTCTTGAAGGTTTTATGCTATTAGCTATTTAATGTTCTGGGACACCCAAACACTTCTGATAATAATACTTGCAATTGATATGACACTTTATCATGCCATCAAAACATCTCAAAGCGCTTCATAGGATTTTTACTGTAAAGTGTAGCAACTGTGTACTTGTCGGTAAAAGCCACAAATGTCTCAAAAACAGCCATAAAGTGAGGGACAAATTTTATCTGGGGGATTGTTGGCCAGGACATGATGAGAAACTCCCTTCTCTTGTTTTGAAAAACGATGTCGATGTGAGAATAGCTCAGTGGTCCCAGCCAAAGAGTTTGATAGGTCATATCCATTGTTGCATTGTTTCAACTTGATTTCCCTATACGTGTGTGGCAGGGGAGAAAAAACAAATAAACTCTCAACTTTTTTCTCATCCAAGGGTATGAAGTTCAAAGGATTGCAGCAGATCTCTTCAAGAGTTAATGTCTCTAAAATGTGTGGACACACAACATATTCATTGTTGAATTAGCTAACAAGTCAAATGTTTGTTACTATTTTGATAATCCACTAGTAAAATGCTAATTTTATTTAAAGGCTGGGGGAAGTTGGGCTATCCTGTTTATTGGTTGTGCCATACTAGGCAAGTGGATGAAGAGTACTGCAGTGTGTCTCACTAAAAATCATTGAGCATAGCCAACGCAGATGTTCCTTGTATTGATCAACAGCCAGAAAGCGAAACTTTTATTGGCTGTGTCAAAGATCACATAATGGATAATCACTTTCCAAATTACTCCTGGGTGTCAGGGGCTGGCAAGAAGGTTTCAGCAATTGTCTTCTCATCTCCTGAATTGTGTTAGGGGAGGGGAGCAGAGGCCATTGGAAATGTTTAATTTGGTTACATCAAGATTTGTTCTCTAGTAATTTTATTGACTTAGTGGGACACATGCTACCTTCACATGCATCCTCCTGCTTTCTAGTACAGATAATTAAGACGCTTCAAGCTACAGATGGGGTGTTTGCTTCAACATCAATGCTACTTAGTCAATTTGCATAATTTCTATTTTTTTCTTATTGATATGTTCCTTTCTAAGCATAATTAGTATTGAATATCATTCTTGGAGAATAGCGTAGAGCTGTCTTGGATCATTGTAAGTCAGTACAGTTTAATACGCTAAATAATACTCAGAGAACAACTGATTTTTAAAATAAATTTATGATGACCCTAGACTTTAGGTTTTTAATTATTTTAAAACTTGTTCCAATATCGTAGGAAATCAGTTTGCATCCAACTAAATTCTGCCCAAAGGAGTATCATCTTACTAAAAAAAACTGTTGATTTCTACCTTTTTAATGGTGAATGAATGAATATTCTTCAATTGACATTGGAGATCGACACAGCATGAACGAATGGTCATTCAGCCTGATGCCAGCTCCACTAACCAAGCTATTGTATCTACTCCAATCCTATTCCCCTGATCTTTCCTTGTAACCTTTAATGANTTTTTTCCATGAATTTATCCAGTTCTCTTTTAAATGCTGTTAATGAGCTATGCTCCAACAGCCATTTGGGTTCCACATTCTAACCTAGCATGTAGAAAAACGATTCTAGCTTCTCCCATCTTTCATCTAGTAAACTTCATAAACTTCAGTTTATGCCAGTATGATAAGTACATCACTGAATACCGTCATGTAAGAATACATCTGTGCTAAAATCAACATAACCCATGAACTTCTTACCTGCACTGTGTTTAAT